CCCTGAGCTCACGCGGGCCATCACCAACGTGGTCTGCTCCCTCTGCTTCAACTCCTCGTACCGGCGCGGGGACCCCGAGTTCGAGGCCATGCTGGAGTACAGCCAGGGTATCGTGGACACCGTGGCCAAGGAGAGCTTGGTGGACATCTTCCCCTGGCTCCAGGTGAGCAGCGACACGGGGACTACCTGTTCCTCTCACCTCAGATGAGAGGAAGGAGTTGGGATGTGTCCTGCAGGAGGGGGCCACCTGAGACCCCAAGGTTAGGAGGGTCCCTGCCCTGGTGTCCCACAAGACCCAGTACCCCGGTGGGCATGGAGCGACTGCCTGGGGGCCTGCAGAGGCTGGGCTGAGCTGGAGCTCCTTGCTGTAATGGGACTTTTCTCCCCCAGATCTTCCCCAACAAGGACCTGGCCCTCCTGAAGAGATGCCTCAAGGTCCGGGACCAGCTGCTCCAGCAGAAGTTCAATGAACACAAGGTGCCAACGGGGCCAGTATAGGGAGATGCTTGGGAGCTGTGGGGTGCTGGAGCTGGGGTAGTGGGGACCGTGCCCAGGACAGCCCGGCTCACACATCTCCCCTGGCAGGAATCCTTCTGTGGGGACACCGTGAGGGACCTCATGGACGCCCTCCTGCAAGTGAGGCTCAGTGCCGAGAACAGCAGCCCCCCGGTGCCAGGGCTGGAGCTGACTGACGACCACCTCCTCATGACGGTGGGGGATGTCTTCGGGGCCGGCGTGGAGACCACCACGACTGTGCTCAAATGGGCTGTGCTCTACCTGCTCCACTACCCCGAGGTAGGGTCTGTGCCCCACGGCAGGGAACCTGGGCTCCCTCTGGCACCAGGGACGTCGTGGGGGGCTTTGGGGAAGACAGGTGCCAAGAGAGGTGGATGTCAGGCTTCGCGAATAAGCAGGATCGGGCTGTGGGCATTTTACTTCTGCCCTGCACAACCTGCCAGGACATGCTGGTGATGCTGGGTGTACCCCACTGCCACAGGGAGCCCCCTCCCCCCAGGGCTCTCATCCCAGCCCTTGCTTCCCTCCCAGGTCCAGAGGAAGATCCAGGAGGAGATGGACCAGAAAATCGGCCTGGCGCGTCACCCCCACCTCAGTGACCGCCCACTGCTGCCCTACCTGGAGGCCACCATCAGCGAAGTGCTGCGCATCCGGCCCGTGTCCCCCCTGCTCATCCCGCACGTGTCCCTTGCTGACACCAGGTGAGACCCCCGGGATGCAGCCGGGACGAGGGCAGAGACCGCGGGAGGGAGCAACCATCTCACTCTGCATTCGCCTTGCAGCATCGGGGAATACTCCATCCCCAAGGGCACCAGGGTCATCATCAACCTATCAGCGAAGTGCTGCGCATCCGGCCCGTGTCCCCCCTGCTCATCCCGCACGTGTCCCTTGCTGACACCAGGTGAGACCCCCGGGATGCAGCCGGGACGAGGGCAGAGACCGCGGGAGGGAGCAACCATCTCACTCTGCATTCGCCTTGCAGCATCGGGGAATACTCCATCCCCAAGGGCACCAGGGTCATCATCAACCTCTGGTCCATGCACCATGACGAGAAGGAGTGGGACAAGCCCGAGGAGTTCAACCCTGGTGGGTTGGGTGCTCCCTGTCCTCCCTGGGGGGCAGGGGCCGGCGGGGTGGGCACAGCAAGAGAGGCTGAGCCCGGGGTAGGCGTGGTGGTGGGAGGTTGGATCCTGCTTCCCCCCAGCTGGGGCATTCGCCCCGTCTCTGCTCTTGCACCTCACGGGAGGGACACACATGTGATGAGCTCAGGCAGGTCTCAGGCAGAAGGGACTGATCCCTGCCTGTGCCGATAGTGCCCCTTCCCCTTGCAGGCCGCTTCCTGGATGAGCAGGGCCAGCACC